TTAATAATTGAAGCGTGCTTCCAAAACTATCCACTAGTTACAAACCCAATAATTTCTCCCCCCGAACTGAACATTTCAAACACTAATTAGAAACCTATTCCACTGAGTTTCTCCCTTTACTCAAAGCCTTCTCCATTACTTTTATTTGCTCCAGCTAAAACTGCTAATTTCTATGCGTCATTTCTCATGCGTTTTCCATATCAAAACTCATGTCCCTTCTCCATTTTTTACTCTACACAGCCTCTCTGAAATGATCAGTATCAACAATAGTAAGCATGGCATCAGGAATCCACTACAATTTTTTTTTTTTCTCTAAAAAGGGTCCTCACCCTATTTCCTAACCTTCATCCAAATTGCTAGTCTTTTATATCTTCGTTTATTGCCGCTAGGGGATGGTTTTTAGGTGCATTCATTTTCTTCTATATCAGCATCTAAACCAAATTTTCTTCTCATCAAACACAACCATTTCCCTTCCATGATTATTTCATTTGGGGTAACACGCAATGGCAACTTCGTATTTCCCAATTTCAATTGTTTTCTTCTTCAGATACAACATATCTGCTTGAGGGATTCCTTTGTAAAATTGGATCACGAAATCTATAGGCCCTTGGCTTTTCACTAAACCAAGCCGCACAACTCGAGCTTTATCATCCTGCTTAGTTCTTCAGCATGATTCACACATCCAAAATTAGTTAAGTACTCAACAGGCCAACTCCACTCCCATTTGGAGTTCTTATTTTAGTGGGTCCTATCTGGAGACATACTGAAAACTTCTTCCAAATCAAAAGAAACAAAAGAAAAAATGGGTTCATTTGGAAGAAAGATGGAGTCCGACCTGTAGAGCACATGTAAGGCACAGTCGGTTGATCGGATCTCTATCTCTCTCTAGATATCTAGAGATGGAGAGAGATGTGAAAGTAATAGGCTTATAAAAGGTTTGGAACTCGAATTCCACTTGACGAGGGTATGGGATTGCTTGACTACATGCAAAAACTTTTCCTTCGACTGGATTGAATAATGATCTTTATTTCCAAGCTTAAGCTTAATGCTTGCGAGGCCAAGGTGGAACTGATTAAGCTTAAGCTTGGTTGATTTTGTCAAGGTGAAGAACTGGTTAAGCTTAAGCTTGGTTGATTTTGTCAAGGTGAAAGAACTGATTAAGCTTAGTTGATTTTGTCAGAAGAAAGTAGGTTACGCTGGTTCATTGATTAGTAAACCTCCCATGCTGGTAAAGCTTAGCTAAAGCCATACCCGCGAGATCCCATAGTGACTTGGCTTTGGGGTGGTTCTCCGTGGACAATGCCACCTCAAATCATTTTTCTTTTTCTCTTGCATCAAGTTGACCCACTCCCCACTATGTAGTGATTATAATCGATCATGTACGTGTCATCCCCTCCATTCCGATTGGTATATCATGAAAAAATCAAGCCCTTTGCACTACTGCTTTCTCTTGCCCAATGTTAGCCTTGTCAAAAGGTAGGTTTCCGCTCGTTGGTTAATTCATCCTGCAAGTCTATTTCTTTGAATTAGTACTGGTTTCTAGGAAAGTTGTTAATGATATTTTTAGTCAGTTAGCTTAAGTTTCTATACTTGGAGATACCGGCTAGAGTTGGGTAAGTGTAGTTTGTTGCTGATTTTATGGAGTTAACTAGGCTATTTTTAGCATTTGGAATTTGTATTTATAGTGACAAGTGATTGAATAAAACTGTTCACTTCCCAATTCTTCTCTATCTATTAAGAACAGCACCACTGTGAACAGCCTAATTTGCTGGTTCTGGCCAGAAGAAATTTGGGCGTTCTTTAAGCATAGTAATAGTCATTAAGATTATGTTTTTTAAAGCATGCGAATCTCCAAATTGGTGGTCATATCATTCTTTTATACAACTACATTTAGTTATCGTGTTTATGCAACCGTCAGTTGTTGAATGCTATTTGAACTCAAAAATTGGTGAACGCATGTGAAACTCTTTTCAATCAGTACATAGGGGCATATGGCCTTTCCTACTGATCAAAACAAGTTTGACAAGTCCACACTTTAGAGTGTACTCTTTGAAGCATATGTGAAACTCTCTAGATCCTTTCACGCCATTGATTTCCTTTGTCCATTACGAAGTAAACATTGCATAAATTTGGAAGAGACTTAAGCTAAGCTCTAGCTATGTTGAAGTTTCATTAAGCCCTTCAACTCAGCTATCCATGTCTTCAATGCTAAAGCTGCACAATATCTTCACCCGTAGATACTATAGGTTAAGGTATAACTTTGAGCATGAACTTATTCACCGCCATTATTAGACTCTTCCAAGATGGAAATAATTTGCACTTTCTTTCCTAAAATAGGAGACAGAGAATTTAAAATTTGCATTCAAAATCTATATGAAAGTAGTTTAAAGATAATATCTGTAGAGTCAAATCAAAAGGGCTAGCTTCAAATTCATTGAAGAGAAGGTTTAGAAACTAACCATTGACTGTAGGTCATCTTCTCCAACTTGCGTTCGTGCCATTCTGCTTCTTTTTTTATTTGTTTTCTTAAAATTCCCGGTGTTACAATAGCACTACTCTGATCGGCAAATTATTATTCAGCCCTTTACAGCACTACTAACACGTGTAAAAAAATTACCTTGTTGGTAGAAACTCCAATGAGAATGACAAGACCACCAACTAGCTATCGGAATTTCAATTACCCAATTTATCATATCTCAATGTTTCAAATGTCGGACCTTGAGTGGAGTTATTTTTTTTACTGTGCAAAATACTAGTTGACTGAGGCAGTTAAGAAGCACGTGGAAGAGAAGGTTGGCAAGGCAGTCCAGAAGCACAGTCACTTAGTGAGAGAAGTAGATGTCAGACTATCAGTTAGAGGTGGTGAGTTTGGGAAGGGCCCAAGAATTAGAAGATGCGAGGTATTGTATTGTTCCTTTATTTTAAATTTATCCATATGAATTGATTCTTTTTCTTTTCTAAAAACATGTGTGTTTGTGTAGGTTACTTTATTCACGAAGAAGCATGGAGTTGTACGAGCAGAGGAAGATGCCGAGACCGTGTATGCAAGCATTGATTTGGTATCTTCCATCATGCAGAGAAAGCTGAGAAAGATTAAAGAGAAAGATTCAGATCATGGCCGGCACATGAAAGGATTTGACAGATCGAAAATAAGAGAACCTGCGCCAATAGTAGTTGAAGATGAGGAAGAAGAGGTTTCTCAGGAAGATGGTGGAGAAGCTATTGATGAGGTTATTCCTTCAACCTTTGGTTTTTTTTTTTTTACCTTGAGTTCATTTTGCTGCATATATTAATCATCTAAGGTGATATTAGCTTGTACAAACTCATGGGTTCCATATTTACTATTTTCCACATGTTGAAGCTAATATGAGTGCTAGAGTTACTAAACCACAACTGTTATTGCTTAGTTAGAAATTGTTGTTTTCTCTAGTTTCTTATAAGGAAAAACAATCATCGATTTCGTAGTTGATTTTCTTTTTCCTATCTAGTGGTTGGTCTGAGGAAATGCTAGATGCAGAACTCAGCATCAGTTGAACCAGGTGCAATAAGTTACTCCTTGTGTAGGGGGGAAGAATGGAAAGCAGTGCATTCTCAATCTTGATTTCCCCTTCTGCTGTGCTTTTTTCAACTAAATTCTGCCCAACTCATCGTAGTTATATTTACTGTGAGATCTCACATCAATTGGGAAGGAAACGAAGCATTCTTTATAAGATTGTGGAAACCTTTCCCTAGCAAACATGTTTTAATAACCTCGAGGGGAAACCCAAAAGAAAAAGTTCAAAAAGAACAATATCTGCTAGCGGTATAAGGTTAATCAGTCAGGTCTTTTCTTTCACAACATGCTATTTTTGGTGAACATGAAAGCATCGGAAATTGGATCTTGTAGATGTAAGATAGAGGGCCTCCATAGTTGTAGAAGCCTAATATTTGTTATTTCTTGCGGAGCCAGCGTTGTGCTCAACTGTTATTGATTAGCTTCTAACTGTCGGACAGTACTTCATTGTCTACAAGGGACTGTTACATTAGAATTTCCTTTCAACTTTATCCCTTTAACCTGCTTAGAGTTACCAAGTTGGTTCATCACAGCAATTGAGACATCCTTCAAAGCTTGCATAGACCCTTTGCTCTTAACGAGTGTTTTATGGCCCCTTCCAACGTACTTGATCGTTATAGCTTTTGATTCATTTGCCTATTTTGTTGACATTCACCCCTAACCTGGGTATCATTTTTAGATGACTAAATCATGCATCATATATTGGAAGCTTGTGAATAATATATCGAAATGGTTAAAATGTTGTTTTTCCTTTTTCATGTTTATCTTGATTTCAGATTGTTCGGACAAAATACTTCGATATGCCGCCGTTGACAGTTGAAGAAGCAATCGAACAACTAAAGAATATTGACCATGATTTCTATGGTTTCCGGAATGAAGAAACTGGTGCGTTGATTTGATTATTAAAAAAAAAAAACTTGCTTTGTTGGGATTCTGTGCTGTTTATATCGTGGCTTGTTTCATCTTTGGCTCAGGTGAGATTAACATCTTATATAAAAGAAAGGATGGAGGATATGGACTTATCATCCCAAAAGAAGATGGCAATGCTGAGAAAATAGAAACTGTGACGGTTGAAGTAGCCAGAGAAGCCTCCTTGGCGGAATGATTGGACTTCACGGAGGAAGTTGCATGTTCAAGATTACATTTGCTTAAAACTGCACAACTTTGACTGGAGCATCTGAAGGCCTTGCTTGCAGGGAGTATGTACATTTAAATTTGAGGCTACTTGATGATGAAGACAATTTTGTGTTGGGTACTTGCAGGGAGTATGTACATTTAAATGAGATCTATTTAAGTGTTGGGTACAATGAGATGCACAATATTATAATAAATGAAAGATTCTGCATGCAGGGGTTATCTTTTGTAATCAGAATCTCTTTTCTACTGGCATGGCCAGTTCTGGTTAGGTTGTACTGTTTGTACTTGAATCTTGATTCGTCTCACTTCCTTTCTTAAAAGTCTGTCTATACTTTATTCATATACTACATGATATTGGTCGTACAAACACGTCCATTTGACTGGCCACTGATTACTGATTATCAAGTGAACGTCAAATGTTAGTTCTTACAGAAACTGGGATCCTAACGGAATGAACTCCATCCAGCCAAGTCAAGCTTCCAAAACAGTATCCGGTTGTTACTCTGTGATTAGAAGAGATAGTAACGGTGAAGGAGATGCTCTTCATCTTGTGGTTGAATTTTAGTATACGAGGCTTTACGGCTATGGTGATGCCGGGCGGGGCCTCAATGGCAGCCTTGTATGAGGAATTGATCGCACCCACATTTGTGACAGTTCTGGTGAGACTTACCGGGTGAGTAAGGCTGGGAATTGTTATGGATGGCACGTTTATATCCAAAATAGATGGTCGTCTTTTGGGGCAAGATATGGACCTCTTGGTAATCCCCGAGATGGCGGAGTTGTTATAGCCCTTCGCACAGAAATACTGAATATAATCTGCCATCCCCATGTCGTATACAAGACCAGGGTCCACTGCTTTATTGGGGTTCACTATTCCACCTCCAAAATCGAAAGGACGGGCAGACATCATTGGTTGTCCCTCCGCGAATATTACTGCGCCATATGGATCCGAACTCCAGGCTGCATATTATAGTTTATAACGTCAGTTGAAGGCGTGATATGTTAAATAACATTTAAAAGTAGAGGCGCTAAATGGTGAAGGTCAGCTACCTGTTGTAACAATGGCCGACNACCATGATTTCTATGGTTTCCGGAATGAAGAAACTGGTGCGTTGATTTGATTATTAAAAAAAAAAAACTTGCTTTGTTGGGATTCTGTGCTGTTTATATCGTGGCTTGTTTCATCTTTGGCTCAGGTGAGATTAACATCTTATATAAAAGAAAGGATGGAGGATATGGACTTATCATCCCAATTTGGCTCAGGTGAGATTAACATCTTATATAAAAGAAAGGATGGAGGATATGGACTTATCATCCCAAAAGAAGATGGCAATGCTGAGAAAATAGAAACTGTGACGGTTGAAGTAGCCAGAGAAGCCTCCTTGGCGGAATGATTGGACTTCACGGAGGAAGTTGCATGTTCAAGATTACATTTGCTTAAAACTGCACAACTTTGACTGGAGCATCTGAAGGCCTTGCTTGCAGGGAGTATGTACATTTAAATTTGAGGCTACTTGATGATGAAGACAATTTTGTGTTGGGTACTTGCAGGGAGTATGTACATTTAAATGAGATCTATTTAAGTGTTGGGTACAATGAGATGCACAATATTATAATAAATGAAAGATTCTGCATGCAGGGGTTATCTTTTGTAATCAGAATCTCTTTTCTACTGGCATGGCCAGTTCTGGTTAGGTTGTACTGTTTGTACTTGAATCTTGATTCGTCTCACTTCCTTTCTTAAAAGTCTGTCTATACTTTATTCATATACTACATGATATTGGTCGTACAAACACGTCCATTTGACTGGCCACTGATTACTGATTATCAAGTGAACGTCAAATGTTAGTTCTTACAGAAACTGGGATCCTAACGGAATGAACTCCATCCAGCCAAGTCAAGCTTCCAAAACAGTATCCGGTTGTTACTCTGTGATTAGAAGAGATAGTAACGGTGAAGGAGATGCTCTTCATCTTGTGGTTGAATTTTAGTATACGAGGCTTTACGGCTATGGTGATGCCGGGCGGGGCCTCAATGGCAGCCTTGTATGAGGAATTGATCGCACCCACATTTGTGACAGTTCTGGTGAGACTTACCGGGTGAGTAAGGCTGGGAATTGTTATGGATGGCACGTTTATATCCAAAATAGATGGTCGTCTTTTGGGGCAAGATATGGACCTCTTGGTAATCCCCGAGATGGCGGAGTTGTTATAGCCCTTCGCACAGAAATACTGAATATAATCTGCCATCCCCATGTCGTATACAAGACCAGGGTCCACTGCTTTATTGGGGTTCACTATTCCACCTCCAAAATCGAAAGGACGGGCAGACATCATTGGTTGTCCCTCCGCGAATATTACTGCGCCATATGGATCCGAACTCCAGGCTGCATATTATAGTTTATAACGTCAGTTGAAGGCGTGATATGTTAAATAACATTTAAAAGTAGAGGCGCTAAATGGTGAAGGTCAGCTACCTGTTGTAACAATGGCCGACTTGATTGCGGCAGGGGACCAATGAGAGTGCAATGTTTTGAGAAGGGCAACAATGGCTGATACATGAGGAGTTGCCATGGATGTACCAGAAATGAAAGCATAAGAATTTCTGTCCTTTGGGTCAGACGGAGGAACAGCAGCTAAAATAGCAACGCCTGGAGCCGCAATATCTGGCTGTACTAATTGCAGGCTCATTCAGCAAATTGTCTTTCTAATACCAGGAGACTGAAATGGAATTGTTACCTTCAGTATTGCTGGAGCAACTGAATTAGGTCCTCGAGATGAGAAGTAGGCCACAGTGGTGGACAATGGCTGACCAACACGTGTCGTTGAAGCACCAATCTTGACTTGGGGATTTCTATGGGGTAAGTAGCAAATAACAGTGAGATTGTAGGCGGCATCAGCAATCAGGATATAGTGAAAGACGAATTACCTGGTGGAGCGGATATAGTTGAGTATCTGCATTCCAATATCAAGGCTTATTTGAACGCATGGAAAGTTGTTTATGAACGGTTCGACCGCCTTGGTAGGATTCTTGGCAACAATGAGCCCCAACCCACCAACTTTTTTGACGGACGAGGAAGTATTGTGTGTGTCGTCATTATAATCATCTGATGCAAAACACAGAACCACATTTCCAGCTGCCCATGTATCATTCAACGATAGAGATTCGCAAGCGCTGTTATGGTCTCACCATCTCGTTAACAACAATTTAGTAGAAAGTAATGATGAAGCATAGGATACCAGGAAATGATACACTAACCGTTCGTCATCCAGATCAGAGACCTCAGGATACACTAAATTGTGGAACTTCGTCAATTTTCCGCTGAACATCCCTTGTCCCTACACAACATTGATGGTCAATAAAAATAGCTAACCAGAACTAATTGCTGTTATCATGATGAATGAGGTTTGATAAGAATTACCATGGTAGTCCAGTTGTTTCCTAATGTAATCGCTACTAAGAATGAACAATCGACAGAACTTGCAGCGACTGTCAATAACCATGGTTCTATATTAGAGACAGAGTAAGCTGCTGGACCAGAATTTCCTGCTGCACCAACAACAACTATTCCCTTCGCCACAGCATGAAATGCGCCAATTGCAATCCCATTGCGCATGTCAACATCAGAGTATGAAGGAAAGGAAGGACCAAGGGACAGAGATAGTACATCTACACCATCATATATCGCTTGATCGATGGCCTTGAGAATGTCTATGTCTGCGCATACTCCTCCATTCACTTGCCAACAGACTTTATACATAGCAATCCGAGAGTGGGGCGCGCCACCCCTTACCGTTCCAACAGCTAGCCCATGGTAACTAACATTGGGCACAAAGAAGCCACTAGCGACGGAAGAGACATGTGTGCCATGTCCTGATCTATCTCTTGGAGACCAGTAATCTTGGAACTCACTATTATTTAAGGGATGTCCATATGCAGCTTCCAGCCCCTTGACGAAATATCGGGCTCCAATTAGCTTTCTGCTACAAGCCTTGGCTGGACTGAAGAGCTCTCCTGACTCGCATATACCCTTCCACCTAGAGGGCACAGGCCCCAGACCCTCATCACAGAAAACTTCAGACTCGGGCCAGATTCCTGCCCGTGGTATCTGACAGTTAGCTCGGGACCTCAGACTATAAAAGGAAGAAGGATTGAATCAGAGGAAAAACAGAAGTCCAAACCTGTATCAAGGACACCAATGATGGCCCCACTCCCCATTCTTGATTTCCGTAGAAGAGAGTTTGGAAATCGTGGAGACAGTTGAAGGTAGTCCCAGCTCCTAGTTGTTTGCATCTTGTGAAGACGATTGGGTATGACTTCAACCACTGAAGGCAACTCTGCAATTCAAAAAAAAAAAACAAAAAAAAAAAAATGTAAGAATTGCTTTGCTATGGAACACTTTCAACTTAAGGTGTACCATACAAGGATAAGAGTGGAGATCTAAAAGCCTCTCGACTGGGATGTTATGTTGTACTCAATTCACAATATGCAGTTCAATTTCCTCCCTTCTGTCATTCATCCGTAACTCCGAAGTCAGTGAAGGGTCTCGTTAACAAGAGAACCAAACAGTTGAGTGCAGGGCAAGTATGTATCTAAAAACAGAAAGCTAATGACTATCAAAAGAGGTAGTCGCGTGATGAGCAACATATGTTGCCAGGAATTCTAGTCTCAGTTCTCCATTATGTTACGATTATGGAATGTTTCTCACCCAATTGTATGTAGGTCGCGGATGAAAAACTATACACAACAAATATTTAATGCATCAGCAACAGAAAATACCTGAGATCATTTGTGCTTGAGCCATGGTAAGCTTTGCTGCAAAACCAGAAAATCCATATTTGTAGCTATATACCAGGGAATCTACAGATCCTTCTTGGCTACGGAAGTAGGCAAAGATTAGTTCTGCTGGAGTATGTTCCAAAATATAATCTTGATATTTACTAAGTAAATAAATTGTTCATAGGTTATATTCATGTTCTACCTCCCAAGGACAGAGGCAAGAACTCCATGATGGGCCTTTACCAGCAGTTCTTCATTATCATGTGGTTTTTGGCCCATATAAACGATGTACACCTGTTGAGCAGAGAACAATTAAGCTAAAGGATCCGACGAGAGAGAAACAAAAAGTGATCGGATGATGAGAATCGAAAACTAACGTTGCTTTTGGCAGCCACACGAATGTGTAATGTACACAGATGATCGAGAGCTGTGAAAACGGAAATACAAACCAAGAAGATAGTAGTGCTGCTGCTCTTTCCGTGTGCAAACGAACCCATTTTGGAGAGCTGCTGCTTGCAGACAAACCTGGCGTTGCCGCATTACCCATTTTATATCCCAAAGCAAAAGGGATTGGAGAATGAACAGTTGCCTCTCAGCTTAGTCAAATCACTTTTTATCCCATTGGTGAAATAAACAAATAAAATAGCAACCACACTTGTTTAGTGGGGAGAATGGCAAACCGCTGTAGTACTGCCTCTGTGCCTGCGTACTCCTCCTTTCTCAACGTTTTGACGCAAAGACTGTGTCCTTCAAGGAAGCATCGGAATCAATTGTAATGGATGTTTCTCTGTTCAACTCCGTTATCGATTGCACTGTCAAATAAATGAGACCCATTCCCCTTTACCCACCCTATAACACTTGCACACCCAGGTCTATATCCTATACCCCCACTTTCTAACAATTCTCCCTCATAATAATGACATTTTCCCCCACTTGCTTTTTGGCCTCTGGTTTTTCTATTCATTCTCTTCTCCATTGGTCACCATTTTTATAATCTGTTTATGGGCAATGCTCTCGTTTGGGAGACCGAAGCAGCAAAACATGAATATGAATGGGAGATAAAAGAGAACACTGCTGTACTTCTTTGTCAATGGACGACACATAAATTAGACAGCTTTTTGGGCACCGGACTTCAGACAGATCATTATTCATACCTTCATCATCCAGTCAGACAAAATGAATTACAAGGACTTTTAAGCATCTCTAAGTGTCACAATACCCTTCATGAACAAGAATCGATCTTACACGAGATTGCATTAATCAAAGGTAATTCTGATCCAAAAAGAATAGAGCGCATTCAGCACAAGGATGGAATTACACTTGAAATCATTTGAAACAAATACCACGGCTTGTATAGACTAGTTACACCCAATTTTCATCTACCATCATCAAGTTTAGTTCGCGAGTCGGACAAGAGTCCACTCATGCAATTGCAGTAACTGTAAAATGGGTCGTCCCAATAATTAAGAAATTAGAATAGTAGGAAGAGTCTTAAGCAGCCAATCCATCCACCGAATGTCCCAGCTTTCCAGACCCATGGTCAGTGTTCTGTGCGTCTTCATTAAAATCCTTCTCTAACTAAGCCCTTGGATGGATCTGAATGGGAAAATTGGAAGAGAAAATCCATATAAGTTAGCTCTGCTAGAGACATCGAAGTCTGCATAACTGAAAAACACCAAATCCCAACTAAAATTACCACTTCCTTTAGTGATCATAGCTGCCATTTTCCTGGGAGAGGGAGTAAACACTCTCCTTTTTGTCATTACTGCTATCCGGTGCACTAACACTAATTTCTGGGTCAGAACAATGCTGAGAATTATATCCCTGCAAGAAATAGAAAATCTAGAACGCTAAGGAAAATAATTTTCATGTTTGAAAAATAAAAATAAAAGAAAGAAATACGTGTTTACTGGAAAACCATTTGTTTCTTAATTGGATTCTCTTTTAATAAAATTTTTAAAAAGGACTATAGAGAATTAAACAGAAAGCAAAACACAGCACAAAGCGTTTTCTTCAAACATCCAAGATGGGCATACCTCAACTAGTTCACACATTTTACACCTTTGTGATAAATGTCAGAAATTGGTCATTCCCAGACCTTACTGTGTGTGTGTGTGTGTGTGTATTCCAGAAGTTCTGCTCATCAAAACTGGCAAAAGCAGTGGGTATAGAATTGGATTCATTCCCATTATGTGTTCAGACAACTAGGCTAGCATTTAAAATATGGGACTTAGGAACATCATATCATCATGGAGACAACTCAGTTAAAAGATGATATCAATGATGAGTAAGAAGATATTCAGCTCCAAGGCTATGAGATACACGATTGTGCTGTTGATTAAGCGTCACCCTGATACTCGTCATATACATAGATAACAATCATAAGACTAAGACCACAACTACTGCGCGATGATAAAGTGACGATTAGGGAGACTTAATGCTTCATTCCCAACGGAAGCAGCACATTACATACCAAAGTTCTTCTTCATACTATGGTTAAGACATAAAATATCAATCAAAATTGATAGAAGGGAACCACATGCACAATAAAAATGACAACAAATACATTACCAATATGAAAAAAGGAATACTAATAATAACTTGCAACTTCTACAACAAACATGGAATACTTTTAAGTCCTACGAGCAATCACTAGGAGTTCATTGATTTTTCCATCTCTCGACATGATAGTCTATCACCGTCTATGTATGAAACTGAAACTTCAAAGTCTTCATCCCGACATTTAAATCTAAATAAACAAGCTGACTATAAGCACAAAATAAAAACAGAATGGATTACATCTATATAAGAACCAACAGCCATCATTTCATGATTAAAAACAAAAAACTAGCTATGTCAGTACATGGAAACTGCACAACTCCAATCAACAAGTATGAAAGTAACTCATCTTACTTTGTTCAATTGTTTTAGAGCTTCCTTTCCACGGATTTGTGGTGCATTGAAATGGAAGCGTTCTTCTGATCCCCAGAATTTGGTTATCTTACTTGCGGAAGCAGTCATATCGGAAAGGCCATTCATTTCAGAACACTGCTTCCTCTTCTTCCTCCCATAGCTCCTCAACTTACCCTTCTTGTCCTTGACCTTCCATACATTCTTCCTTCTGAAAATCAGTTTGTCGGACTTCCACACGTCGCTGCTAGTATCTATGACCGTAACCTCGCTCTTCGAGTATCCTTGAAGTTCCTTCTCTCCCTTCTCATCCTCCACCTCTTCCTCTTCAACCATACTGCGCGCATTCTGAGCTTTATCCGACCCAGCATTGGCGCCGCCTTTCGAGCTATTATCAGAATTTGATGAGAGGATGTTGTCTTCTTTCTGGGCGCAACACAGATTCTTGTCATCCGCATAGTCAGCATTAGTAAGAGAGGGAACGGAACAAATCTTGGGGTTCGACTGTTTCCTGGGGAGCTTTTTGCCGGAACATTTGGAACTCCGAGAGGCACCCGTGATGTTGAAGAGGTCAGAGAGGATGCCGGTAATGATACCGTATGAGGATGGGTTCCCATTTTCAATGGGAGAGTTGGAGGAGGAGGAATTGTCCCGGCGGTGGGAATTGGGATGAGAGTCAGAGTGGGGGTCGGGCAGAGCGGAATGGGGGCTAGAATGAGGAAGCGAAGAGGGGGAGGGATTGTCCAGGTTTTGGTTGGTGAGGAAGTGATCGAGGTCAAGATTGTCGGCGATCGGGAAACCCTTGTTGGAACGCAGGCGGTCCAGCCAATTGGGAGCAGCCTTCCCGGCCCGTACCGAACAAAGCATCGGGAATTATAAGTGAAAAGTAGAAGAAGGGGGGGAGAGGGGAAAGCAACCGAGGGTTTCAGATTGCTGGAGAAATCCAAAACCAATTATTTATCTGTACAGTATAATGGATACGAGACCAGGACACAGTGGAATGAGGAAGACACAGCGAGAGATGAGATAGAGAGAGAAAGATGCCACGCGGCTTTATCTGATTGCTTCTAAAGTCTGATTGCCAGGACAATGGCCATATTTAATAATGGGGCTTTGACATTATAAAAATTACATTTTTCAAAGCGTCCTTAATAAAAATTTAATCCGGCAGAGCTGTGATATATTATTGATGAATGAAATTTGAAATGTACAGTGAACACACGCAGGCATCCAGGGAAGGGTACTAACAAAGGAAGAAAATGGAAAAGAGGGAAAACACTCCAAGCATCGGCATCGGCATCGGCATCAGGAAGGGAGAATGGTCTCAAAGCAGTGGACTCCATCCAACTCCGGCGCGAACCTGGGTTGGGCACTCCTTTTCCTATGGGGCTGCTCCTTAATTCTGCGTATTTGGTTATCTTTATTGGAGCTCACGGTCTCAGCGGCGCCCTCCGTCAGCTTGGTGGGCTGTCCATAGGATCCACTGCCGGAGCCGAAGAAAGAGATGATCTTCCTCATCCTTACTCCTTTATGAATCGGACAATAAAATATAACAGTGATGAGAAATAGAGGCAGAAGAAAGCTGTACGATGTTTAAGACCTGATGGAGGACCGGGGAAGAGGAGAAGCTCTTATAAGTAAAGGAGGAGGTAGAAGCTTCTAGGGAGGGCGACGTCTAGAAGCTTGGACTTGGACCCCCTTCGCTTTGACTCCACTGCATCAAACGTTCAATCACTCAATCGATTCTGGACACACGGCCCGGATTTAGCCTCCAGGGTGGACTGGATAAGAACAACTATGGTTGGAGTTACGTGGATTAGGTGTCGGAATACATTGGATTTACGTGTCGTGCTGCCCAATTCTCGAGTCCTCTCGATTCTCCATGATAGAGTCGTACACGCCTATCGAAGCTTCTCCTAATCGTGTAGAGAGTAAATTACTGAATTTATCACAAATTTCGGATCATTCTTTTATTTCACTGTTTCTTTTTCGGTTCTGAAATTAAATTTGATTACCTTAAAAACAGTTGGATGCGCCACAATGTGCAACTAGGCCGCACCACGCTTAAGCCCACGGTGTCGGGCATGGGCTTTACATTTTCCACAAATTATATGGCAATATCATTAACATGATTCCTTCTGGGCTTCCTTGCTTTGTTCAAGCTCCACTTAACTTTATAAGAATACCAAAATTGAGTTAGTGAAAATTTCAAAATCAAACCAAAGTGAAAAGACGTGTCCTCTCCTTTTGCTATCAAATAATCTAAAATCAAAAAGAAAGAATACGCTGTTCCAGGGTTTAACCCTCAAAGATTTCCTCTCATACGGTTTAGTCTTACTGCAATGTTAAGTAAGTCAAATAAATTTTCCATCGTACATGAAGGGCAAATAAACAACTATAAATACACTATTAAATAAAAAACACTAGAGACAATTGAGCGGAGAAAAATGAAGATGAACCCAAAAATTCTCTAATCCAATTGAATAGTAGGATAAAAGAGCTTCCTAATCGAATAAACTGAACCCCATGTCGTCGTCGCTCTCTTCCTTCGGCTCCTCCTGCACAATGGGCTTGATTAAATGAACAATAAAAGGGGGGAAGATAGGCTAAGGAAACTAAATGGGAACAATATGATCGATTCAAAGTACAAACTACGCTCATCAATATTAAATGTGGGTATATATGAATTATGAAGGTGAGCCTTAAATGAATATCAACAGTTAACAGATAATGAGAGCTAGCGGAGGCAGAGCACCATGATGAAACAATTCTATCAAAACCACCGCTAAACTATGATAAAGCCCAGACATTAAAAAAAACCACCAACATACCTTCTTTTCCTCAACAGCAGGAGCAGCAGCAGAGGCGGAAGCACCACTGGCAGAAGCAGCAACAGACACGGGAGCCGCAGCGCCACCTCCACAGCCAACATTCAGAAGAAGGTCCCCAATATCCCTCTTCTCTGCCAATTTTGCAAACAGGCTGGGCCAGTATGATTCCACACAGAGCCCCGCAGCTGCTACTACAGCAGCAATCTTATCCGCCTAGACCCAACACTCAGATTAATCACGCATCAACCAGTACAAAAAAGGAAGAAAAAAAAACACAGAAAGAGAATCATTCGTACAGTGATTGCAATCCCATCGTCGTAAAGAGCTAGGGCGGCGTAGGCGCAGGCAAGCTCACTACTAGACATGGTTAGAGTAGCGTCTGGTATGCAATGAGGACCTAGGAATTTTAAAGAATGAAAAATCAGAAGGGGCAGAAAACGATGGAGAGAGAGAATTGGAAGATTGTGAAACGCAGAAGTTGGAGGAGCGGAGCATACCAGGATAGTATTTGGAGGGAAATGCGTGTAGAGTGATCGATCACCATAGGCGGAAGTATGGCCATACATAATGGAACGGGGGATTAGGGCTATCGAACCGGCTTCATCTCACATGGGCTTCACTGGACCAACGTAAATGTATTGGGCCCAAAAGGAAGGCGTTGATTTGGGGTACAGAAACGGGGAATATGTAAGATTACGTTGGAAAAGAAAAGTAAAGAGGAGAATATAAAAGAGAAGCAAGAGGTTTGTGGTTTGTGGTTTGTGGTTTGTGGTTTGGATTCAAACCTCCCATTGTCCTTGCTTGGTTGGGATCGTGGATATTAAATATGAAGAGAAATAATAATGAAGTGGGGGAAGGTGGAATCTTTTTCCAGGACCGGAAATTGTGATATAATGGGAGTGGTCCACAAAATATGAGTCTACCACCGGCAACTGCAGAAGAGAACCAAACCCTCTTTCTTTTTGTGCTTGACCATTTTCAGCAACACTGGACTGGACTCCACTGGACTCGACTGAAGCCTATGCCTATTGCCTCACACTCACCCACCCCAACCCTTTTGCGCTTTACCTTTGCATTCCCATTGGAACTTCTTCCTCTGCAAAAACTCCCTACCCCTTTTTTTGCTTAAATTACCTACTAATATTCATTAACAACAGATTTAGACTTCCACACTAAATTTGTTTTAAACAATACACGCCACTCCCAAATACACAATACTTTTACAGATTATGCAATTTCAGTAATATTTTTTTTAAAGTATGTCGTCTTACCCTTTTAAAAGTTATTCAAAATTCGTCTTTTTAGTTGCTACTTTAATGTATTTTTTAAAAATATTTTTTTAATAGGATAAGTGTGAAAATTTGAATAATTTGTGTTAAAACATTGGAAATGAGTAGAATATGTGAAGAGGAAATGATAATGTTCACTCCTAACTCATCATTGTGTTGTCCCCAAGTTTTATTAACCCCCACATCCTGAATTTTATTTCTCATATACTATCTTTCCTCTACCACAGCTTTCAATTTCATGTTTTCCCATTTTTTTAGAAAAACGTATAAAATTTCAATATAAATTTGTGTCCAATCCGGCAACCCACCACAGCCTTCTTGCCTTGGATGGATGGGATCCCCTTCACGTACCCCGCCGACTGCCACACCCTTCTCTTCAAATCTTTTCAACTTTCATAAAATCATTTAATTATTTATTCATTTGCTACCCCATTTTCGCTTCATATTAATTCCCTAAAAATATTATATATGGAAACCAATATCTTTTTGGTTTTTTTTCCCTAAAAATATTCCAAAAAAGAATTTGATTTTTTTTTTTTTGAACCGCTAAATATCAATTTTGGGTCAAACAAATAACACTTTCTAAATTCATGTTTATCCGAGAGAGAATGCATGGTCAAAGCCGTGAAACAAAATATTTTTCCTCTTAAATAAAATCTCATTTTTAGAAAAAGTAATATTAAACTTCTTTTTTCCTCCATATTTATAATCGAATAGGAGTTTATGGAATCTAAATATCAAATTCGACGTGAAAGATTTATCTTCAATCAAATGAAACTTAACAAAACAACAATTTTATCCAAAAAGAAACACTTATCTTTAAAATACAATTTATTATTATTATTATTTTTTTTTTTTTTTTTGTAGAGAATGTTTAAAACTTTTATTTGTTTGGTACTATAACTAGCCTTATTTAGTATACAAGTGAAATTTAGAATTTATATTCAATTGCATATCAAATATACAATTTTATTAGACTACCTTACATTGTGGAATGGATTTGTGGTAGAAAAGTGATATTATTTAATTTACCAATTTAATTTGTGCAGTACGTAATTAGTCATAAATTTATTTTCCTCATATTCGAATGCCTATTTGTGATTGGCCAAAATTCATTGATTTATTTGTTTCTTATCTATTTTTAGAAATGTGATCGAATCTAAGCTAAATTACGTTATGAAATTTAGATTTTGGTTAAAAATTCAAATGTTTCAGTAAATAAGTCTGAGAAAACAAATACAACTAAAAAAAATCATCTATAGCACCCTAAGTTTAGGATTTAGAACTTGGATTAGATTTTTGACGTCCTCGACCTTCCCTTGCATCACTCTAACAACTTGATGTCATCTTAGTTATCTCGAACAACTTGGGATATCAAAAACTATTCTCATAAACTAACATGAGATTTTTTTAATATATTTTATCTTAAATTACATATTAAAAAAAAAAACTTTATGAAGTTTCTCTAATTGAACCATAAAAATGTATATTTTATTAATAAAGATAATATAATTATATATTTCAAGAATGTATGTCATTGATATGAATTCTTTTTATCAAATCTGTTAACAGGACATAATTAAAAAAAAAAGTTAAAAAAAAGAAAGCAGTAGCATATATTTTTTAGAAATTAAGGGGAAAAAAAGTGAAAAATGTAAAAAGAAAAAGTGGTGGTGGGTGGTGAATGCAATTTCCATTTATAATGGGAAAAAAAATGAATTGAATTGTAGTAAGATATAATTATGAAGAAACGAGGGAAAGAAAAGAAATAAAGAGAGGAATGCATGATGCATGGTGATTGTTGATTGATGCATGGGTAATGGGAGGCCCATGGGTATTTTGGGAATTAAGAAAAGTTTGGTGTCCCTGAAATATGTTGAGAGGAAGGGGAAGGGGGCGTACCAAAAATTTCATCTCATCGGTCATTTCTGGGATGCTGTGAAAGGAGGCCCCAAGAGATAGTCCACCGCAATCCGACGATCTGAGCAATCAACGTACACACTCCTCCTTCCCTCTTTCTTTCTTTCTCTATTTCTACACTAATTACCAAACAGGAAAACTCACACTTCGCTTCTCTCTCTTTCTCTCGCTCTCCACCTTTTTGTTAATTCGCACACAGGGTTTTTCGTTTTCGTTTCGATCCTCTTCAATTTCGTCTCTCTTCTCTTACTTCTTCTACTCCACGATCTCCTCCTGGGTTTCGCCGTTTTCCAATGGAAATGTATTAGATAAGCCCTCTCCCCCCATCAGGTAACACCCTACCTCTTCTTTGACCGCTCTTTTTATTCCTATTCTTATTATTAATATTCTTTTCCCGATTTCTCTTGCTTTTTTCCACCCCGACGGATATCTCGATCATACCCTTCTTCTTTTTTTTTGTTTTGTTTTTGTTTTTGTTTTCGTTTTTCCAGAATAAGATTGTGAAAGAACGATCTTGTTGCACAAACCTCTTTCCCATCATGGCGGTTGCTGAGAATGTTGGACCCAAAATCGGCTCTCCAAGTCAAAGTTTTGAAAACACCATGGTTTCCTCCGATTCTAATGATCCCAAGGACGTTGAAAATCAGAAGCCTAAGAACGATTCTGCGGTTTCGATTAATGCAGAACCCGACTTTCATCCCAACGGAATCGATCAGAATACACAGAAGAAGGCACACCTCCAGGAGAGAGCGGCTGCCGCAACTTCTTTTGCACTTCCTTCACCCAATTTCAAGGCCCAAATGGGTCAGATGCAGAACGGGTTTGAAACTAATGCCCAGTCGCTAATGGTGAAGTCTGCTGCTGCTTATGGGATGAATCAGAGGCCTAATGGAGTGATAAACGGAGCCGATGGAGGGGAAAACTTTAAGAGGGATATGAGGGATCTGGAGGACTTACTATCCAAATTGAATCCCATGGCTGAGGAATTTGTTCCTCCTTCGCTAGCCAAAAATTTTTCGGGTTACTTCGGCGGTGCTGCCCTTGGGTATACGAACGACTTTCTATTGCAAGCTAATTCTCTCAACAACGAAGGGAATAATAATCGAAGGGTATGTGGGGTTTTTTGTTCTGTTTAAAGATCTGGGAAGCTTATTTAGACTATTGTTAAGCCTTAAATAATCCGCACTTTGATTTCTGGTGAACAAAACCACTCAGACTAAACATGCCTGCTACGAGATGTTCATTTCTAAGTGCTATGATATTGCTACGAGAGTTGTATTATTTGATTGCACGTTTTAGTACTAGGGATTGTACAGAATTCTATTCTATTTCCTTTGTTTATGTTGAATGAATCTCATATTGATTTTGTATTTTCTTTTGTTTCTCTGTTCTTTTTGGTAGAAGAAGAATGGTTTTAGTCAAGGAAGACGGAAGACGAATAATAAGATGAATGCAGTGAAGCGAGATGAGATGACCCGAAGGACAGTGTATGTATCAGACATTGATCAGCAGGTAAGAGCCTTCCATCCCCCCAACTCTACTGCTTATGTGCCTTGCTATGTCCTTTTTACCTATTCATTTTTGGATGGTGGAAATGCATTGTAGGTGACTGAAGAGCTACTTGCTACCGTCTTTGCTAACTGTGGAGAGGTGACTCGTTATTCTCCTTTTTCCATTTGATATGATTTTTGGCATTTTACTGCTAGCTTAATGTTTGTCTTCTTCATTAGGTTGTTGACTGTCGTATCTGTGGTGATCCCAACTCCATTCTTCATTTTGCCTTCATTGAGTTCACTGATGAAGGTATAATCCCAAGTTCAGTTTATTCATAGATACATTTCCTACTTGTGCTATCATATCTGATTTGCTTCATGTTACCAGAGGGTGCAAGGGCTTCCTTGAATCTTTCAGGGACAGTGCTTGGTTTTTATCCAGTCAGAGTGCTGCCCTCAAAAACTGCAATAGCACCTGTCAATCCTGAATTTTTACCCAGGGTAATTATCAGCCATCAATGTCATTCATCTAAATTTTACTACATTTTAACTTGTTAGCTATGCTATCAACTCTTTACAATTTATTCCACTTATTTTCTTGAAATTGGCTTTATTGTGTTCTATTGTTTCTAGTCGGACGACGAACGTGAGATGTGCTCAAGAACTATCTATTGTACAAATATTGACAAGAAGGTATGTTTGGAAGTGAAAAATCTCTGAATGTAATTGAGAACTGTGTTTTTGGAAGAGTAGAAGTTGAAAGAACTTCAATATTTTTTATTTTTATATTTGTTGTTTTCATGTTATGTAGGTTACTCAAGCAGAGGTCAAGCTGTTCTTTGAATCACTATGTGGAGAGGTCTGCACTTTCTCGTATAACAGATGTTGTATTTTTTAAGACTGATGTTATTCTGCTTACAGTGCTTTATGTTCTCTGGTTGTGAATTAATCTACGTCATCTGTTAACCCTATGTAGGTTCAACGCCTTAGGCTACTTGGAGATTATCATCATTCCACTCGTATAGCATTTGTTGAGTTTACAATGGTAATCTTGTTCTCTTCTGTTGATATTTTTGCCTTTTGTTTTTTTATAACCTTTCATCCTACCATGTTTATAACTTTCCTCTTTTTTTTTTTTTTTTTTGGGTGTGT